CCCCAGTATGCACCTAGTACCCCCCGAGTACCCAGTAGTACCATGCAGTACCTGGCAGAACCCAGCAGTGTCCAGCAGTGCCCAGCAGTACCCTGCAGTACCCCGCAGTACCCCGCAGTACTCCACAGTACCCCTAGTGCACTTTAGTGCACCCCAGTACCACCCAGTACCCAAAAGTAACCAGGAGTAACCAGCAGTTCACACAGCACCCTACAGTACCCCAGAGTATCCACAACTACCCTATTTACTCCCAAGTACCCCCGTACCCCCCAGTACCCCACAGTACCTCCAGTACCCCCGTACCCCCCAGTACCTCCAGTACCCTGCAGTAGACACAGTACCCCACAGTACCCCCATAGTACCCCACAGTTCCCCACAGCACCCCACAATACCCCAAAGTACCCCGCAGTACCCAACAGTACCCAACAGTACCCTGCAGATATGGGGATTACAAATTGGCGTTGTTGCCATCCTTCCCTCCATTAAGTGATCAGCTGATTAGTATTAAACTAGCTTTTTTGTCCATGAAAATAGTGCAAAACTATAAAGAAAACATCCTTAGAAGTGCTTCTGACTCTACTTATATATTTTTATTAAAAATAAAAAATTCTGTTTGGTTTATGTACCCCCCAGTATACCCCAGTAAAGCACAGTACTTTGCAGTACATTGTAGTACCCTGTACCCTGAAGCACTCTGTATACCCTGTTTCCATCACTTTCCATAAAAAGATTTTTGAATTACAAATTGGTGTTTTTGCCATTCCTCCCTCCAATGAATCATCAGCTGTTTAGTTTTAAACCATCAACGGAACCTTTTTTATACTGTTATACACAAATGAAAATAATGCCAAACTGCAACCCAGAAAAGCTTCTATATAAGTTCTAAATATTTTTGTTCAAAATAAAAATTCTGTTTGGTTTGGCAACTTTTTCTGCAGAATCTTTCCTACTTTCTGAAAGGTTTCACATCGATATGTATAAGGATATCTACTCGATATAAAGCAATATTTATTAAAACTTATTTTAACTCAAACTCTTAACTAAATGAATATAGAAAAAATATGCCAGTTTAAGAAAGTTTTAGATAGATATTTTTAATCATCCAGAACCAAAAGTTTTATCAAAATTAAACTTTTTTAGGTTTATTGGACGTTTTCAAAAAAATGCAAAAAAAAATCATTTCTGACACCCCTAGGCTTAGTACGTCAATAGAATTCACCAAAACCAAACTGCAGTCCTTCAATTATCATACAGGGAAATTTTCATCTTTCTAAACATCCCAACGAAAGATTTGACAGGTTCTTTACTTCCAATTGTTTGTCCAAGCCACTCTACTTAGTTAATTTCTTGTCTAACTTGTCGCAAAATATCAGCTCAATTGGTTAATTGTATAACCTAGCCCAAAATATCAGCTTAATTGGTTGATTGTATAACCTAGCCCAAATATAAACTTAATTGGTTTATTGTATAACCTAGCCCAAGATATAAGCTTAATTGGTTTCTTGTCTAACCTAGCCCAAATATAAACTTAATTGGTTTCTTGTCTAACCTAGCCCAAAATATAAACTTAATTGGTTTCTTGTCTAACCTAGCCCAAAATATAAGCTCAATTGGTTTATTGTCTTAGCCTAGCCCAAAATATCAGCTTAATTGGTTTCTTGTCTAACCTAGCCCAAAATATCAGCTCAATTGGTTGATTGAATAACCTATCCCAAAATATCAGCTTAATCATGGTTGATTGTATAACCTAGCCCAAAATATCAGCTCAATTGGTTGATTGAATAACCTATCCCAAAATATCAGCTTAATCATGGTTGATTGTATAACCTATCCCAAAATATAAGCTTAATTGGTTTATTGTATAACCTAGCCCAAAATATAAGACCCCCCCCTTCTCTGCAAGTAAAAGTATTCAATCTCGAAATTCACACGGCACAAGATAACAAACCTAATTTATTTTTAAGAATTTGTACTTTTCTGAAACTTTTACTCAGATATAAAACTAAACTAAATATATTATATATTTTTTTTTGAATGAAGGACTGGATTTGTTGGAATCTGAGCAGACTAGGGACGGAGAAGAAACCGAAGATGTGAACGCCCCTGATGGAGTAGATGGAGAGGATGGACTGCAGGATGAAGGAGAGAAAAGAGAGCAGTGGGATAACCCTGTTGAGTTTCTTCTCTCTTGTATATCTATGTCTGTAGGTATTGGAAATGTTTGGAGATTTCCTTTTACTGCATACGAGAACGGAGGAGGAGCTTTTCTCATTCCGTATCTCATAGTTCTGATCCTCATCTGCAGACCTTTCTACCTACTGGAGCTAGGACTAGGACAGTTCTCTAGTAGAGGCTGTGTCAAGATATGGGATCTGTGCCCTCCTTTTAGAGGAATTGGATATGCCCAGAGTTTTGCTACCCTTATAGTTTGCTCCTACTACTGTGAATTAATTGCTGTATCTATCTATTATCTGGTTGTATCCTGTAGTACAACTCTACCCTGGAGTATATGTCATGAGGAACTAGCTCAACCAGACAAATACTGTCTACCGTCTAACTCTAATATTTCCAGCTTAAACTCAAACCTGGAGAACCAAACTATGATAGCGTCGTCTGAACAATATTTTAGGGTTGGAGTGCTCAAAGAAAACTCCGATATGAGTCAAGGTATCGGATACCCTGATCCTGCCTTAATAGGATGCTTAGTGTTGTGCTGGGTTCTTATATTTGGATCCCTATATAAGGGAGTAAAGAGCTCCGGCAAGGTTGCATATTTCACAGCGTTGTTTCCATACGTAGTGATCCTGACACTTTTAGTTCGTGGACTAACACTAGATGGTGCTGTAGACGGAGTATTTTTTCTGTTTAACCCGCAGTGGCAGAGTTTATACGATCCCAAGGTTTGGTATGCAGCAGTTACTCAATCCTTCTTCTCCTTGAGTATAGGGTTCGGAGTTCTCCCAACCTTTGCTTCCTACAATACATTCAAGCATAATATTTACAGAGATGCGTCTATAGTTGCAGTCATGGATACACTTACCTCTCTACTAGCCGCAGTTATCACTTTTTCCATTATAGGACACCTTTCTAAGGAGCTCAACGTCCCAATGGATAAGGTTGTCAAGTCCGGAGCAGGTCTAGCTTTCATCAGCTACCCGGAGATTTTAACCAAGTTTCAAACTGTGCCTCAACTGTTCGCTGTTCTTTTCTTCCTGATGTTAATTACACTAGGACTTGGTTCCGCTACAGGATTAATGAATGCAGTGATAACTATTCTAACTGATGATTTCCCAAAGGTGTCTAAGAGCATTATAACTGGCGGTGTTTGTCTTCTTGGATTTGCAACAGGTAAATTTAATTTTAGTTAATTTTAAATATTTGTATACAATCACTGGCACAAACACATATAATATACTAGCTCGGGAACCCAGCTTTGTCGGGAAACTATAGTTTTCCCTATAAAAGTCAACCCACTCCATTTTGAATGTTTAAACCAAACTCGGACCATTCCCGTGTTTATACTGAGTACCCCAATCAAAATTTAAGGCAAATTGGTCCAGGGGTTCCTGAATAATGGTCGGACAAACAAACAAAAATTTTAATCAAATCGGACATAGGGTTCCTGAGTTTAGATTTGACAAACAAACAAACAAGAAATTACTACTTCTACTATTCTATAAAGTAGTAATTTTTGTTTGTTTGCTTGTCTGTCCGATCATAACTCTTAACCCCTGGACCGATTTGCCCTAATTTTAGTTGGGAAACTCGATAAAAGCACGGGAATGTTCTTAGCTTGTGTAAAAGTTCTAAGTTGAGTGGGTTGACTTTAAAAGCAACAATTTTGTTTCCCGATAAAATCGGCCAACTGCGGGTAAACGGCAGGAGTAGCTATGAGTAACCTGGGCAGCGCTGGGTTCCCAAGCAAGTTATATAAATAGATAAATGGATATATGATATAATACGATATCTGTAGGTTTAGTTTATACAACCCCTGCTGGTCAACCTATCCTGGAACTAGTAGACTACCATGGAGGTAGTCTACTAATCCTATTTCTAGCTGTTCTGGAGATTATAGGATTAGCTTGGATATATTCATCAACCAACCTTCTCAAGGTACAATTCAAACGTCATCACAATTTATGATCGGTAGGGGGAAATGGGGTGCCCCTTTTCCACCCCCCCCCTTAAAACTGAATTTTGATAGCAGGACTGCAGCAGGAGCGCAACAAGCATTTCTCTGAATGGGGGTGGGTTGTGAAATTTTCAAGTTTTTTTATTGAACATAATTTCAAGAGTAGGTCTAAAGTTAAAAAAAGAATTTTAATTTTTCGTAAGTTTCTTCTTTATAACAATTTGTTTTGGATTCTACTTTTAGAACCATTTGGTCAAAGGGAATAGAATATATTTTCTATTCTCTATGCATTTGGTACGAACCTATTCTAAATAACATTTCTTTGTTGTTTAGGATCTGAACTTTATGCTTGGATTAAATTTGGGTTGGTATTGGAGAATATCTTGGTCTTTCCTCATCCCAGTATCCCTCTCCCTCATCCTCATATACAGGCAGAACAAAATAATATTAATATTATTCTGATAAAATAAGGAACATTTATAAATGTTGAGTGCCAAAAATTATTCAATCAAAAAATATGATAGTATTGTCAGCGTGGTTTTAAGGTACCACTAATTTTGAGCGGCACAAACGATTCACAAAGGTATTCTGATAATCCTTCTTTTAGCATTAATGCCGTATTAGTAGTTTCCCGAATTCAATCTGGTCAATTAAAAATCCCGCAAGGTTTCTACCACACTTCACATGATAGAATGCACTCAATGTTCGGATTTAAAAATTAAGCTACATCAGTCATAATCAGAAAGACCCGGAATTAATTGACAGTAATCAGGCGACTTTAATCTCTGACAATTTTAAATGCTCAAAACAGGCCGACCACATTTTGGAAATGGAAGGACTATGGCAATTTTGTGATTATTTTTTCATCAATCATATTTGTGAAATTAGATTGCAAAGTCGGCTGATTAATTTTAGATTTATTCCAGGTCTTTCTGATTAGAACTGAGGCAGATTTTAAAGAATTTGATCGGCGGTTTAAATTTGAGACGCGGCTCAAATGTGGTTGGTTCCACTTAAAATTGTATTCAATGTTTCAAGACTTTAAGCAGGCGCTCAATTGAAACCGGTTTTTGGCGGATTTGAGACGCGGCTCAAATTCATTGAATTCTGACTCTGTATTATTTTATATATTGTAAATTATATGCACGTCATAAATAGATGCGAAGAAAGGGTTGAATAAAAATACTTTAACAAGTCATTAAAGGATACTTTTCAAGAGTAAAATAGCTTTTTTGAAAATTAATTTTCAACCTTTTATTATTTTTAATATTTCTGTGAATGACCAGTATATCCTGCTACACCCCTGTATCATATGCTGGAAATCAGTTGCCCTTCTCAGCACATATTGCAGGTTAAATAATTCAAATTTACCAGTATATCCTGCTACACCCCTGTATCATATGCTGGAAATCAGTTGCCCTTCTCCGCACATATTGCAGGTTAAATAATTCAAATTTGTAATATATTAAAGTTTCATGGCACTGGGTCGTGTTCCAAAAAAGGATGAGACTTCAGAGACAACTAAACGAAATATATACAGTTTCCTTATATGTATGAGTACCTGCAACTGTTCCAGATCCATAAATAAGCCAAGCCACTATATTAAGGCAGAAAACTTAATTTAACCTTGGAATAATCATATTAAGTTTCAGGTCGTCTTTACAGTCTCATCCTTTCTTGTTAAACATGTATACCTGTTAAACAATCTTAAGTATTTCTAAATAATACATTATGTAAAAATATTCTTTTTTATATCTTGCCGAGAGTAATTTTGTACACACTCAAAAATATGGTTGATTAAGTTTTTTCCAAGATTGGTTTTCAAGTTTATCCGTTAGATTCGTGTTTAAAATTACCAAAAAAAATATAATTTGTCTTACTCATCATCCACGTCGATTTCTGCATCATCAGAAAATTTCCAAATTTTAGTTTTGAGAAAACTTGATCTAAACTTGATCTAAACTTGATCTAAACTTGATCTAAACTTGATCTAAACTTGATCTAAACTTGATCTAAACTTGATCTAAACTTGAAACTTGATCTAAACTTGATCTAAACTTGATCTAAACTTGATCTAAACTTGATCTAAACTTGATCTAAACTTGATCTAAACTTGATCTAAACTTGATGCAAACTTGAAAATTCTAAAAATCCCAAATTCCCCAATCTATTTTATCAAGGTTGGTGTATAACCCTGCTGGGAGTGATGCTAGTTCTTCTGTTCTTTTTCCACAGCTTCCTAAAGCACGGTGTTCTGGGCAGGAGCTGGAAAGGTGCAGGGATGGGGTTCAACCTCAGCTTGAAGGGGATGTTTGCCCCCCTGGTTAGGTGGGGGCCAAGAAACCCCCTGGACAGACTAAATTGGATTAAAGTTGGATCAAAGGTTGATGTTCAACCAGAGACAATTTTCCATATTTCATGATTCTGAACCTGATTCTGAACCTGATTCTAAAACCTGATTCTAAACCTGATTCTGAACCTGATACTGAACGTTATTGATCTGCTTTATCTTTTTGACGCATAGTTCCATTAAAGTTAACTGTCTTATACGTATTATATTTGTAAAATAAAATAAAAGGGTTTTCAATAAAACAGTATCTTAGATAATATTTATTGTTTATATTTTATACAGGTTGGCACGAGGAGTTAAATAAATATTTAAATAAATAAATACAAAGTAAACACATTTTCACCATAAATCAACAATCACACAGATACACACAGTAACAGAACAAACTTAAAAAGTTGATTATAAAGAATTTTTTTACAATTTTTCATAATCATCCCCCTCTTAAGTTTTAATGTGCATTGTTAGAAACGTGTTGAATAAATCCCAAAAGAAAGAAGAATACCTAAACCAAATAAGTTCAAAAAGAAAGAATAGTAAAAAAGGAAAAGAAAAGATATAACAATATATTCAATATGTTCAATATATTCAAGAACTGGATGAATTTCATAGAAACTACACAAATCTCATATTTTCAACTTTTATTCTTGTAAATGTTGAAAATATGAAATGAAACTAAGATTATTAGACGGCATCAGGAGTATCTTGGCTGCAGTGGCCCTTAAATCTGAAAATAAATAGATTATAATACATGACGTAGCTTTCACAATTCACCTTCGTATGCTTAATAAAAAAACGTGTAAAGGTTTTTCTATAAGACTTGGCTGAATGGGATTTGGTTTGAAACACAGGGTTACCCACAAAAGATGAGACTTCAGAGACGACTGCACAAAATGTATACTGTTTTGTTATTTTTATCTTTCTTTGTAACTGTAAACTATTTTCTTTGACAAATTATTAGTTCAGGCATGAGAAGACAAATCTAACCTTAAAGTCAAATTTTAAGCGTTTTATGTCGTCTTCACATTCTTATCCTTTGTTGGTAATCATGTATGCATGCATGATGTAATAAAAAAGCATTATGTTGCAACCTAGCGTGCATATTGCTAAAATGTGTATCAAGTGTATCCTGGTATATAACCTAGATAACCCAAAATTCAAATGCATTTACATTAAACAGTATACAGACACCGACAGATAGATAGATAGATGTATATATATTTATATTGGGTGTCGCCTACACCTGACATTGACAAAACCCAAGTATGCAGATTAAACAGAAAGTAAGGAAGAAAACAGAGGGGACATTCTCGAGACATATGTGATAAACCTTGACCGTGAACTGGACACTAAAGATACCCTTATATAATCTGGTATTTACCATTATTTACTTCAGATTATCTAATTTGATAATTTCTAAATTGAATTTTTTCATTATAAAGTTCCAATAATGGGGTCGGAATGAAATAATCAGGGTATTATGTATAAAAGCAGAATGAGAATATACAATGTATGCGACATCATTGGTAGGAATTTTTGACAATTTGTTTTTCTCAATGGCTATTCAATTAGAGTATAGTTATTTATTGAAAACATATATCTTACATGTTATGTACTTTTATTTGACGTGATAAATTCAGCATGTGAAATGTACATAACAAATGTAAATCAGTTTGATTGTTTAAATGAGAGAAGGGGGTGGAGTAGAATAGGAAATGTACATAACAAATGTAAATCAGTTTGATTGTTTAAATGAGAGAATGGAGTGGAGTGGAATAGGAAATTTACATTACAAATGTTAATCAGTTGGATGGTTTAAATGAGAGAAGGGAGTGGAATAGGAAATGTACATAACAAATGTAAATCAGTTGGATGGTTTAAATGAGAAAAGGGGGTGGAGTGGAGTAGGAAATGCACATAACAAATATATGGTTTAAATGAGAGACGGGAGTGGAGTGGAATAGGAAATGATAAGTAGAAGAGATGAAGATAAAATTTAAAATAACCTTGAAAATGTACAGTAACTCCCTTTTTCCCAAAATGTATTAAAACTAAAATATTCAAATAGTATTCCAATAAAAGTATGCATTTCTGCCGAAACCTCAAAAAATTTAAATTAAATATGAATTCATTTTTCTTTTTATTTAACGTAGAGAATTGTTAAACTGCTAAAAGAATTAGAACCATATATGGACTAATGGGAAATTTTGAATAGCATTCAGATTATGGAGGGACCGTTGCAAACATGATGCAACTTCTGTCAGATAAGATAAAATTGCAATCTTTCTGAGAACTATAGACATCCGACCGATGATCAGAAGAAAACTAGTAGAAGTATCTAAACCTAATCTAGAATGTGGGTATAAAGTATAAAGTATAAACTATGGAATATGGGAATACAGGTGGGAATAATACGATTATCTAGATGGGAATACGAGTGCCTAGTTGGAAATATGGAGATTTTGAACATTTAAAAACTGGATACTGTTAAAGATTGCTTTTATCAAACTTTGAAATTTTTTTATCATGAGAGAAAAGAAAATAAAAAAAAGAAATTAAAAAATCTATGGTGTAAATGTTTAAAATAAACAATTTTGAAACTTGTAAAATTTCTCAGATTTGTCTAAAACCCCTCAAAAACGAACCAAAAAGTTATTTTCCATCATTTGTTGAAATAATATTTTCAAAACCAGGATTAATTAGAAACTAAGTGTATTTAGTTAAGAACATATTGAACTAGTATGACAAATCCCAACATTCGTTTTTATTTTATTTTTAAGTAAATAAATTGAGTCTTTCAAATCCCTTTCTTTGCAAACCAATGTCGTAGACCTCAAATATTTCAACCTTTGAATTCTGTTAGATCAAATGATCTAAGATTGAAATACCAAAAGTTTATACCATCATGTTGCAAATATATAAGGATTAGAAAATTTGAGTTTGTGGCAACCAAAACAATTAACAATAAACTTAACTTTCATGAACCTTCCCTTTTTAATTTAATTAGAAGGACAACAAAGTGTAGAATCTATAAAACAGCAAATTGCTAGGACTTGAAGCGTGAAAATTAAATCTTACCTTTGCTAAGTCCGGCCTTGGAAGCTTTGTATTAATCGTGAGTGTAGGATGAAATGATGTTTCGACCTGACAACTCTGTTGGATGTGGAAGTAAAGAGCTGCAGAGCTGTAGAACTGTAGAACTGTAGAATTGTAGTTATGGTTGGTTGGTGGGCCAAGACGGGATTCTTCTAGCACACACACAGACACACACACAGGACCTTGAGCCGGTTGAACGACTTAGGAAGTTCCTGATAGGCGTGTCAGAATACAGAATACTAAGATGTAAAGTATTGTATTATACATTCATTTCTTGCATAATTCTCACTATTATTATTAACATTATTATCACACCCAAATTTATATGGCAAGGCCGGGAAGGCAATGTTTTAAAAGTTTAGATTTTTATAACAGATTTTTTCGTCCAATGGATCTAATTCTCATCCACAAGAAGAGAATGGTGATGAGGGCGACAATAAGAAGCATGAGGATACTGATGGTTACTCCGACAAAGGCAGCAGTGTCGATGCACAAGGACTCAGTGGGAACTGAGTTAGTGTTGATCACGACTTCTTCCTTTCCGTCCTCATTGAGTTGAAACTGGACATCACTTGGAGCCACGACACGGATAACACGTTCTGTCTCAATATCCGCCTGATCAACATCGTCAGTTTCCTCAGCCTCGCGCCGAACTATACGTAGGATTGTGTTTCCGTTTCCGTCGACAGGAGCACGTCGCTTTCTGCTCTTGCCTTCTTCGACGCTGTTCTCTGAGTGCTCAACTTCGTCTTTAACTGCGACAACCTCTGCTTCCTGCTCGACTGGTTCCACAGTTTCTCCGGCGTTGAAGTCTAGAGACCTTGGGTTACCTCCGATGGTATTGGTATCCAGTGTTCTCTTGCTGAAATCATATCCGGGGTTTCCGTTTTTCAGAGGAATAATAGGCGCAGATAGGGGTCCAGCTTCAGGTCGGACTACAGACACTCTTCTCTCAGATCCTAGAAAAATAGGAAATTGTTTAAGAGACTTTAGAAGGTTTTGAGGTTTCGGAGGCTCTATGAGTTTAGGGGGTTTAGGAGGTTCTATAATTTAGAAGGGTGAGGAACTCTAGAATTTTAGGGGGTTTAGGAGGTTTTACAAGTTAAGGAGGTTTAGGAAACTCAAGAATTTTAGGGGGTGTAGGAGGCTCTGTGAGTTTAGGGGTTCAAGATTTTCTAGGAGTTTAGGGGGCTTAGGAGAGTTTAAAGGCTCTAGGAAATTATAGGGTTTAGGAGGTTTAGGAAACTCTAGAATTTTAGAGGGTTGAGGAGGTTCTAGTAAATTAAAGGTGAATTATGACAAAAGTTTGAATTTGTATATAGAAAATAAATATTTTTTGATAAATAAATGGAGAAAATGAATGAATCAATGTTTTAATCTCGCATCAAGAAACATATATTGTGTATCCGACCCTGAAACCTTGAGACCGGTTTAGATTATGGGAACAGATTTAACCAATTAAACCTGAATTATGCATTCTCAGGCACATTTTCTCTTAAGGTCGTTTACAACCATGTTAACTAGTAGTAGTAAGGTCAAGTATGAAAAGAACACAAAATACAACCAAAAGTATAATTTTTTAAAGATTTAATAATCTAACCAAATCTTGAAGTTTAAATGTTTTGCCTGTTAAAGGGTGTATAGATTCGACCATAATTAGGAAATTATTGGTAACTTATGAAAAGTTTATTCGAGTTTAGAGCAAAATTTGAGATGCATTATAAACTAAGAATCTCAAAAATGAGGGGGAATTCCGAGTATTTCTCTGACGTGACGAATTTTAAAAGTAGAAATAAATTATACAACTTTAAAAAAAATATCTGATTGAAATAAAAAACTATGGTCTCCCTTAAAATCTAAAGTATGATTTAAACCTGTTTTTTTATAACTAAGTACTTTTTGCAACAAAACATTTAATCTCAGTTCCCAAAATCTAACGATTGTTTTTTTGAAACTATACCTGATGCATACTGTCCGCCAGGAACACGCGGGTCAACTCGTTTACTTGGTAAATTATATCCGGCTCCAGGGGCACCGTAGCTATCCAGGGCAGGGCCAGAAGGAGACCCGTAGCTGTCCAGGGAGGGGGCAGCAGGGGCCCCATAGGTGTCCTCGTTCGGTTGACCAATAGACCCTCCACACTGAGGTTCAGGGCAGGAACCCCTGCAAACTTGTACCACGCACTGGAAGTGTACGTTCATGCTGTCCGGGAACTTAAACGCCTGAACAGAACAACATCGTAAAAAGACCTGACTCGGGAATTGGGTCGAATATTATATTTTCAATATGAAAGCTTAAACTATTTTCTTCAAACAAAATTGTATGAAAACTTTTACAAAAACAATATGTTTGTATGTTTGTGTGTTTATCAATAATAAACAAAATATCTTCTAATTAATTAATGAACAAGGTAGCAAAGCAACAGTGTAGAAAAGAACTATGCCTCATTAAGCATCTGTTTTCAGCAGAAACTGCGGTGTTTCAACCAAACCGCAGACTCATATTTATCAAATCCAATTTGGGAATAGAACGCAATCATTTATTTACGCTAATTAATGATAGTGCTAATTCATGAAGAAAAAAAGTAAATAAAATTAAATGATGAAAGTGGCCTTTGCATTGGATCGAATAAAAAAATGTCAAATCTCGCTGAATGCAGCAATGTTTGATTTAATCTATATACATAATTTACTAACTGAAGGGCCCGGCGGTCCCTGTGGAATTTTAAAAAATACTTTGAATTTTCGACAGAAAAAAATTGCCTGTGCTACTTCCCAGGGTACCCCTGGATTGCCTGTGCTACCCCCCAGGGTACCCCTGGATTTCATAAATAGATGTCAGCCAATTTGATCCAGCCGTTTGGCCAGCTATAGCTAACAAATATAAATGAGTAAAGAGCTCTATGATATGGATATTCACGTGTATAATGAATAGTGTAAATATACCTGAAAGTAAGCATATGAAAGAACATTAGCTGTTGTATCAAAGTTCTTTAGTTTCTTGAACGGAGACATAATCTTCTCACGAACTACGCAACCTCGTTCATCTACAAGCTGAATAGGAGCACGCTGGCCGTCATGAGCAACACAGTTTCGCACCATCATGTCAAACTTGTTCTCATCATCCTTCACGCCCAGAACCATGGTCATGGTCTGCCCGATCTTCACGATTCCGCTCACCTCGCTAGCATAGGGGCCTTTACCAACCTGAATAATAATTATTATTATTATTATTATTATTATTATTATTATTATTATTATTAATATATTAATATATTTATAATGAAAATAAGAACACCCTTCCAGAATTCACGCCAATTTCATTAAAAAGAGATATGGCAAAATATTCACGTGGTTCTGCTTTCAGACTCAGCCTATATTTGGCATGTTTCAATCTTGTCATGAAAGAAAAGTTTTTTTGATCTATCTATCTATCTATCTATCTATCTATCTATCTATCTATCTATCCATCCATCCATCTATCTATCTATCTATCTATCCATCCAACTATCTATCTATCTATCTATAGTATACTTATATACGTGATACATCAAATATGCATAATTAGATAATTAGAATAAGGTACTATAATTATGATTATAATACTATTTTGTTCTCGATCATATATTCTTCCTGATGTTGAGAGTTAGGAATAAAATTTTAAATTATCTACTGCTAGTGCTAGGATATACATAAAAAACCAATATTTATCGATGCTTTGACTTAAAAACACATTAAAACACATTGATTTATTGATTTATTGATTTATTGATGTATTGATGTATTGATTTATTGATTTATTGATTTATTCATTAATTCATTAATTCATTTATTCATTTATTCATTTATTCATTTATTCATTTATTCATTTATTCATTTATTCATTTATTCATTTATTCATTTATTCATTTATTGATTCATTGGCTTATTTATTTATTGGTTACCTGAATCTGCATCCAGCATCTAAGATTATCTCCAAGGAAGTTGGCTGTGACAGGGTCGAGCATATCCACCTGGTAGGGTTTAAACGTCACTGCCTTCTCATAGAAATCATACCTAGATACAGTTATCTTTATACATAAAGTAGTAATCTCTGTGTTTTTGTTTATCTCATCATAATTCAGGAATCCCTGGACCGATTTGCCTCAGATTTTGCTCGAGGAACTCGTTAGAACCACAAGAATGTTCTTAGTCTGGCTTGAAAATAATTATTTGAGTGGATTGACTTTTATGGCGAAAATCATGTGTCCAGAAAAGCTGGGTTGCATGCTAGTTTAGAAGATAAAATAACATACTATTAGATATTGCAATTATATGTAAACACAGGTTTTGAATTAAATAACAAAAATTAGAAGCTACGTTCAGAAATAAGTATTAAACATCACGGGAGTTTAAAAATACTGACTAGCGAGCTTAGAATTACACTGGAGAGCTGAAGGTAGGCTTAGCATTAAGGATCAGAGGTGGGGTTTAATATTAAACACCAGGGATCAGAGGTTGTGGTTAATATTAAACACCAAGGATCAGAGGTTGGGTTTAATATTAAACACCAGGGATCAGAGGTTGGGGCTAATATTAAACACCAAGGATCAGAGGTTGGGTTTAGTATTAAACACCAGGGATCAGAGGTTGGGTTTAATACTAAACACCAGGGATCTGAGGTTGGGTTTAATATTAAATACCAGGGATCAGAGGTTGGGTTTAATATTAAACACCAGGGATCAGAGGTTGGGTTTAATATTAAACACCAGGGATCAGAGGTTGGGTTTAATATTAAACACCA